CTCATGCTCAGGAGGAATCTGGGGACCCTTCATTGCTGAAAACACTATCCAGTGAGCAGCAAGGACATCCTTTCCCCTCACATATTTGGAGACATTCTCCTACATGATTTCCCTTCAGTAGTCCTGAATATGCCCTTTCTCACAGGCTGGCAATATTACCAAAGTAAACTGTATGAAAAAAGAGCCGGTATGGAAGAACGTGCATGACACTGAGAGAATAAAGGATTGCTTCAGACCATGGACTACACTGCAGCATCATTGATTTGCATCAGCTGCGAGTCTGGGCCATACAGACAGTACAGATTTACCTAAACCAAGACCTTGCCCCATCACTGTGATGGGGAAACCTTGATTTACACCAATGAAAGACCCGGTTCAAAGGTTTTTTTTGCATCTTTAGTGGTTTGGTCCCACTATGGAGAACAGCAACAAAGAATGCTCCCTTCATGAATGTTAGACCTAGTCTGGCTTCCCCTTCACCATGAAGGCAGCCAGAAAACTCCATATGACAATTTATGCAGGGTTTGAATCTTTCAGATGTTTTGTTCAGCCATTTTTTGGGACGGTGAGCACCAAAGCTAACTGGTTCCTCGCATGTGACTTCAAGAAGGCCTTCAAATATCCAAAGATGGCATTGGAGATAGTGGTCTGAGCTGAGAATCTATTCTTAATATATATATTTTTTCCACTAATGCTGTTGGCCTTCTGCATCACTGTGACAGCATCGGCCCTCGTCTTGTCTGATACATCAGTTGTCTATGGACATTGCAGGGGGATTGCCTCTGGCTTGAAATCTGTCTCTTGTGCCAAATGCAGCACCTTCCTTCATGGGAACACAAAGGTCCTGTCTTTATATTGTTCCTCATGTTTTCCAAGCCCCCAGGAACCTATTGACTTTTTTCCATCCCTCCCCATTCTTACCTATGTTTGCTAGCCCTGCACTGAACAAATGAATGGCACTGACCTTCATAGCAGGTATCAAAAGAGATAATATGGGCAAGGAGAAAAAACAGGAAATGTTGCAAGTTTTCCTTCTAACATGCCTAAAGGTGCTATTGGGATGGAGACATTAAAAATGCCAATAAATAGCTAGATGAGATAGGTTTCCTGTAATCTCAGATTCATCATATTTTACATGTTACTCATAATAGCAAACAGTAAAATAACTAGAGGTCTGTGCAGGCTGGAGGAATGTCCCTGCCTACAAAGAGTGCTGTAGTTTTTACTAATTAAATGATGGACAGCTGGAGAGGTGTGCTCTGACCCAAGCAATCTGTAGGCACAGCTTTCAGCTCTTCTCATCTGCAAAGAACCTACCGCCACCAAACCATCAGCACTGTTTAAAAGCAGTGAACAGAAATGACACTGGGAGAGGAGAGGTGAACTATTCCCAAACATCCCAAAAGGGCATGAGCTTAATATTCAGAAGAAAGCAGAAGGAGCAATAATCTCTGCAGAAAAGTCCTTCAGACACATGGGACCACAAAACCCTGGAGAATTTAGTGTGGGAAATACATTCTGCTTCTGACAAATAGTTGTTCCCCACACCAGTGGGGAGTGTGACAGTTGTAACATAGCAGGCTGAAGCCTTTTTGAAAACGAGCTACTTTATTTAAAGAATGGCAATTGTTCCTATGTCTAGGATAAAAGGACTTATTTCCCTTTTCCCTTAGACAAGAATCAGTTAGTCCCGCATTCTTCTATCTGGGAGATTAATAGAGGCTCAAAAGAGAAGTACAGTCTAAACCTAATGCCAGCTCCTTGCGTCCAGCTGCAGAGCTTTTGAGTGCTCTAAAACTGCCTGCTGCGATGTGCCCAGGAGAATACACTGAGAACTCTTCTCAAGTGTCTGCCTTGATCTTAAACCCTCCTTCAGGCATCTGCAACCTCTGAAGACAATGCTTACAGTTTGGTGCACTACAGATGTAGTTTTATGTTCCCATCCTGTGATCTCTTGCTGTACCTATTTGAAGGTTGTCTGTGCTTGCAAGAAGGAAACCAGTTTATTTGCTGCAGAGCATGCCCACAGCAGTACCTGTGCATGCTGCTTCATTTGGACTCTGCTTTCTCAGACACAGGCCACCTCAATTTGTCATTGTCACCCACAATCATTCTGTTCACTGACGCCAGGCAAGCTTAATGGAAAAATGAAGCCATGGTTTATTTAATGGGAGTTAAGGTCACCCTTCTAGTTATAAGTTTGGAAACAAAAGTTCCAAGTAAAACAAATATAAAACTCAAGCTTAGTTTCTATATAACAACTACAGTCTTATCTGGTTGCTTAACCTCTAATGTTCTGGCTGCCGAACTGCAGCCAGCAGTGCTGATGCTTCAGATCCACTGCAAAACGCTGCATCTGTGGCTCTTCCCAAGCCAAATTGCATCACCAGTGAGCAGTGCTTTGCCTGTATCCCTCTACTATATGCAACTTACTCCATTTCTTTCCCCAGCTTTCCCTTATTCCACTCTTTTTTTCCAAAGCAAAAGTACAGATGGTGAGCCCTCTTCCACTTTCCTTCTGTGACTTACCGGGTTTATTCTAGTTTAACATTGTATAACCCTGCCTTATTCTCCAACTTGCACTTCCCTCCTAACCTAAAAGTTTTGATGCTTACTCATGATTTGCTGAGTACTATAATAATCCAAAGACTAGCTGAGTAACTGAATATGGTTATGATGGAGCATCGCAATACTCTGCATATCAAATCATATAAAATCATTAACTATGTAGCTTTTTAATGAGCTCATGATTAGCTTTCTGTCTCATATGATATATGAGGACATGTTAATAACAAATACAACTGAGCCAGGAACAAGTTCTTTTGGGCAAGTTACAAGTGTAAGTTTTCTCTTCCCAGCTTTGGCAAGGGCTCTTGTGTGATGTTCGCTCCAACTGGCTGCTCCAAAGCAGAAGCGATCAATAAGCTCTGCAGCTGCCCATGGCTACGGAAGACTGTGAAGGCTGTGCTGGAAGTCCTCCTCCTCTGTGGATGGATTTGTGAATATTTTCCCTTAGATGTTCCTATTGCCCTTGCTCTATCCTGACCACTTCAGCTCTGTCTGAACTGTAGTGGTTTTCTCTTTCTCCTGATATTAGCAAGAAAACACATACAAACAAGCAGAGGCTGAACTGACAGACAATCACCTTTAACACTGTATCTTTTTCTTCTTAGGCATTTCTGTGCATTGCTCATCTCATATCCCAGTCTTCTGTGAGGACCAAGTAGATTCCTTTCAGGATGCTATCTCTTTGTTGTGCAGCCATTTGCACTAGCACCCCACTAATGATACCTGTGATCTGGTCCTTGCATCCTGCGGTGCCTCCACTAATTTAGTAGTAAGTCATAAATGCATCCATCTGCTACTGACAGGCACCAGAGGATAACACTGAAATCATCAGTTTCCCTCACAAACCTTCCCATTTCCTATTTCCCATCCTTGACAGTGCCTGAACACGACATCTAATTCAGGCTTCCTTTGTCCAGCTGGTCTCTTTGGCTGTTGCAAGCAAAGAATTTCTTCTGCATATTCATTCTGTTTTTTCCTGCCCTCACGTAGGCCTCCTTTGGAGCCAATAGGGAGACAGAGAAAAGGATTTGTTTCATGTGCTCTCTGATGGTTCCTGCCCACTGGCCATAAACCCTTATTTCTTGTGCTTCTATCATGAGGGAGAGTCACACAACCTCTCAAGAGACAGTCTCAAGCCCTACATATGCGAAAGGACCTTCCTCTTCCAGTTATCTCACCTCCCGTACCATACTCCCGCCTAACATTTTATTTCACAGGTATAATTCTCTGGCATATAAAATCAGGGGTTCACTGGCCTCTGAATGATGAAAAATGGACAGAAAAGAAATGCCTTCAACTTCTCAGGGAAATTATTCAGTTCCCAGCAGCAAAAGAGCATTCTAGAGTACATAGTCACCTGATCCTGTCTCCGCAGGATTATACACATTGCAACAAACTCCTTCTAATAGTCACCTCAACTAGTCAAAGAAAATCAAATTGTCACTGCCCTCAGTCATGCACCCTTTCCACAAAGAGCAGAGCACATCCAGTCCCGCAGGTTGTGGAGCATCCTGAGCTCCCATTAATTTCCTTCAGAAGGTTCCCCACCAGGGGCCATTAGCAAAATCTGCTCTGACCTCTGGGTGACACAGGCCAGGGAATGCCACCCAGAAACTTCTGCTTGAAGCTGAATAGCTTGTGGCTGAATGAGGGCATAACTTTGAGAGCCATATCCAGTTGTGACTGAAAGATAGCAAGTCATGGAAAATCTACTGCATCCCACTTAACCAAGATGGTCAGCAACCATCAAGATTTTGTTTTGACGATTTTCTACATATGAAACATTGAAAAAATCAGAATAATATCTTTACCTAAGAGGCTGACCTCCTTATGCAGCTGGGGAAATCAAGTCAAAGAGCAGTCAACTGATTTGACCAAGCTCACCCAGCAGCAGAACCGGAAAAAAAAAAAAAGTGGGTGTCCTTTTCCCACATTAGTGCTCCCTAAAGACTTCAGTCAGGTGTCCTTAAACTCTCAGAATACCGTTCAGATCACCCTCCACACTTTTCTCTTGGCACCTTTCTATAATTCAACTGAATGAATAAGGTAGCCTCAATTATTTGAATTTCTTCCTTCTCAGGTGCTATGTGCAGAGAGTCCAGTTATGCTTTATGGTATGTGTGTTTGGTTAGAAATACACAATGTTTTGAGCTTCCTACAAGCATTTTGGTACAAGCTGCATTTATACCTCATTGATTCTGAATTTTTAAAATGCCTAGAGAGGACAGCCACTCTGTCCAGCAAAACCTTTAAAAAATAATCACCACAGACACTTGCACTACTCTACTCAATCTGATTGCCTTTTAAAATCATATATTGTCCTAATCTGAGGTTTCAAAATCCAATAGCGTAAAGTGTGATATTCTGCTGACTTCTAACATACCACTAGTACAATGACCTCTGAAAAAAGAGAGCAGAAAGGCAACACTTACCTGGGTTACTTTTGGAGGTGCGCACAGGGGTGTAATGGTTTTTGGAAGATGTCCTGACTGGGGTGTTTTCTTTGGGGGAGGTATCTATGGCCGAGATAGTCTCTCTTTCACAGTGTGCTATTGGGATTGGTCCCTGCTGCCTTAAGATGTCAGCCAGAGCCCTGTGGTGAGAGAGGAATAGGGGAAAATACATGTTTACACAAAGCAGCCAGCATGGCATTCAGAATTTTCACTTCTACTATCACTTTATGAATCCGTCAGTACTTGGATTTCTACCATAAATGTAAAAAAGTAACCATGAAAAAAAACCCTGTGACTTAAAAGCTGAATTTCTGTGTGTCTGTGTGTGTGTGCACGCACACGCGCACGCGCACGCGCTGCATGTATTTACTGGCTTGCCTGGCTATTGTTTTGTTTTTCAGACACTTCCGCTAATTCAGTTCACTCCACAGTTATGTTCTCTCTCTTCCTTGCCATCATTAACAGTGCAGATGAACTGCTTGTCGTAGTAGAAAGTACTATCTTCACAAAGAATCACCGCTGAACACACCAGACCCCTAAGATTCAGACTTATAAGACTGCATAGGCTTACAAAGGTTTCACCAAAACTGCACTGGCCAAACCAAACTTCCTTAAGATTGAATCAGGTGAGAAGAGGAGTCCATTCCCCACGTTCCCTAAATTCTTACTATTTCTGCAAAGAGTTCAATTACCAGTAGTGATGGGAGTGGATTTCTCAAAGGAGAACCAGCAATCCATAAGAAAAGGACTAAAACAATTTCCATGGCTTAATGCTATCACAGCTATTAGCCTATATTTAGCTTTTTGTCCATCAGAGACTTCTTTAATGGCACTGAGGCCTCAATACCATTCCCCAAGAAAAAGAAATGTCACAGTATTCAGTTGCAGCCAGTGTTTTCCCCTTGGATGAGTGGAGCCTCAAAGATTTTTTTTTCCTCTGTGAATATCATGAACACAGTGGAGCAATTATAGCGTGAAACACTGAGTTTTTTTAGTGCAGCCACAAGCTATCTCTTAAGCCATAGGAACAGAGGGGAAGAGGGTGAGCTGTGTGGGTTATAAGGAACAGAGGCATTTTAAAGATGATAGAATTTGAAAGGTTCTTTTCTCTTGGCAGAGGGAATATACCTAATTTCACCTCGGGTACTAAGAAATATGTAAGGAGGAGAAATTCCTTTATTGCATATCGATAGAAAAGATTCTGATGTTGCTTATATCTACTAGCATTCCTTAAATGCCATATTTTTGTTCTTTTATATGAGAAATGGTTTGGGATTGGAGTGCCTTCCATTTTCCAAATCATTTCCTCTACAGACCGCCATCCTTGTGCATAATGAATTGCAACACTAATGTGCTCTACAAAAGAAACTCTTGGAAGATCTCAGAGGCTGCAACAGATGATTACATTAGTTCTCAACTGCTCTGCACAGAATAAAAATATTCTTAGCCTTATTTGATTATTTAGTGTTTGTAGAGGGAGCAGCTATAGAGGCTATAACCAGTTATATGATGTGTATACATGCACACGGGTAGCAGATGGAGTAAGACGTTGTCACGTTCAGGGACATGCGAGCATAGATTTTTCTTGTGCTAAGGTATGCTCGGAGTGTGGTGAAGGTGGCAGCAATAACAGATAGGTACTTGGTGTTAGGGCTTCCTTCTGTTTGCTCCAATCATTATTCTTCACTGAAAGAACAGATTTGATATTTGGTGTTCTCCAAAGAAATGACGAACTCCCACTGCTTGATATGTATCTATAGCTGCTGACCATCTTTTACAACCATGTCTGTGGTATCACAAACAAGTCACCAAATAATAGGACATTTGAAATTTTGGACCCTTGCCAGAGGTTATAGTGGCAGAACAAGGAACAGAAGTCAGAGCCTGAATTCCTTGCCCTACACAGCTGCGCAGTTCCTTCCTGAAGAGAGAACTCGTTCAGTCACCAGTAACCCTGATGGCTTTTCTAGGCAAATACCTCCCCGCTGCATTACAAATCTTGCTAATTGGGGAGAGTATTGGAGTTAAACATGGTCTATCTATTTGATACCAACATGCAATACATCCCATTGGTGACAAGAGATTTTCTAAAGATAGCATGTTGGCAGAACTGAGCCCTTAGTACATATCTTCAAGATATATGAAGCATCTGATGACCATTTAATGATATCTGCAGTACAGAAATGCTAAGAGTCGTTTTTCAATGACACAGATTGTGTTAGGATTATTATTTACTAGTCCTTGGTGGCTTGGGATCATTTTGAACACTTGTAGAAGACAATCCTAGCATCAAGAGTGCAATTACTCAAACTAGAGAGGAAGATGACTGTGTGGATAGCACTAAAACACTTTACCACTTAGCATAATATAGTAGAGCTAGCTGGGCAGGAAAGGTCAGGTTAGGGATTGGTATACATTCAGAAGGGGCTGTACAGGATAAGGTGCATAGAGGCAGTACAAGAAGCTCAAACAAGAGCATCTGAAGTTGGAGACACTGATGGAATGGTGATGGCAGAGTCAAGACCAGTTATCCCAGAAGCTGAGTTTGTTTAGCCTGAAGAAGAGAAGACTAAGAGAGGATCTACTTGGAGTGTCACACTAAAGAATGTGGAGCTGCAGACAAGACAGAGTCAGACTGTCCTTAAAGGTGCACGGCAAAAGGACAAAAGGAAATGGCAATAAGTTGCAACAAGGGAAATCCCACTAAGCTATAAAGACAAAAACCCAAAAAACAAACAAACAAAAAAAATAACAGTGGTGGTGGTAAAATCCTGAAACAGGGACCCAGCAAGGTTGAGGGGTCTCCATCTCTCTGGAGATTTTCAAAAGTCAGATGGACAAGGCCCTGAACAACCTCATCTAGCATTGAAACCGGCTTTGCTTTCAGCAGATGGTAGGACTATAGACCTCCAGAGGTCCCTTCCAACCTAAATTCTGCTATGATTCTGAGCCTAAGGCCATCCCACACTGCAGGCCACCTTGTTTTTCCTGATGCTTTCATCTGTTCTCCTACTGTTATTCTTCTCTGAATGGTGTTGGATATAGTCCTAAGAATATCGCTTCCTTACTTCCTGGATGGACAGCTTGTCTTTATTTGCTAAAAACAATTGAGGCAATTAAAGTGGATATGCTCTGAAGGGATCAGAGCCAGTGAGAAATGTCTCATCCTTTCTGTCATTATCTACCTGAGAGCTGAACCCTGAGGGCTTGCTACCCATCATGAGCACAAAAACATGTGACTGGGATATATTCCAGTTTGTGAAAAATTTCTGATAAAGCTATGCTTCGTAGATCCTTGGTTACAGCCAGGATCTGAATTCACTAATCCTTATGACGAACACAAATAAAACTCACATACTAAGAAGGAAAAACTCTTCTAATGTAATCCCTTATTTATTTTTTATCCTGAAGGAACAGTAACTAGAGCTACTCTCTGGGCTAGTTGTTGGTCACAATATAACAAAGAAATAATTTCTCGTGAGATGAGAAATGCATGGAAGGGAGGAGACTGTTACTCTCCAAAGAACTGACAAAATCACAAGTGACACTCAGGAAAGCAATGGCTGCCTTTCATTCTCCTGCTGTGTTAGACTATACAGTAGATAAACTGAACACAACTGTCAAAAACTGACATAAATCATAAGTGTATGGGTCTAAAATCATATGAGTTCAGTAATATTGAAGGGCTGATCTTTTCATGCCCTAAACATACCAAACTGTCTGTATTGAATGCTCAGTCTTTGTTTTCTCCTTTAGTGTCTCCAGAGAGAGAAAAAAGACTGCTCAGAAGCATTAGAAAAAAAATATATATATATTCACACACACATACACACATACACACACATATATGTGGAGGAGAAAGTCAGACTTGGAGCACATTGGTTAGTGGCTTGCTAATTCAAGCATGTTGTGTGTGATCAAGTTTATTTCCATAAAGCAGAGTGGGTTCCACCGCTGAGCTGGTGGAAGATCCATTACTTTCAGCTGAGGAAGGATTCGGTCTGTGTAAATCACTTGAGCACAGCTGCTTAACTGTCCACTAAAAGCTTCAAGCAGAGTAACAGAGACAGTATAAATAGTTAGGTCTTGTGTGTGCAGCCATTTGGGTACAACTAGTGCCACTGATCTCAATAGCATCCTACTCACCTACACAAGGGCCAGGGGGTAAGGCTATGAGACACACAAAAGTCTTTCTGTGCTAAACATCTCTTATCTTGGAAAACAAACCTCACTCAGTGGAACGTGTTACCTGCGCCAGAGGATCAAGAAGCCAGAGCTGAGTAACTGTACAATCATATGCTGAGATAATGATTTATGACTATTGATGATTATTTTTCATTAATGTCATTTAAGTGAGAACTCTAAAGCTCCTTTCCACGTAAATCCAAAATAGATGTACTTACATCAGGACTGTTATTCCAGACTAATGCCGGACTATCAGTGTGGGAGCAGATCTACTGATGCCTGTACGGCAGGACATCACAAGGCATAGCAGGTTAGGTCCTGTTCTCAGGTGTATCAGCATGGAAGGTGTATCACCAGGTAACTCTAGACTAGGGCTGCCCTAAGTGAGTTTTTGGGGAAGAAACACAGTAGCATAAGCACAAGGATCAGAGCTCTGGCACAAAGTAGCAGTTGTGGCTCCATTAAGAAGGAAAAAGGAAAGGCTTGGAAATCCAAAGGGCCAAGAGGGATGGGTATGGACAAGAGGGTAGCAAGGCTGGGTGTTAGCTGGGACCATGAAGATGAGAAGCACAATCAACAGGCTTTGCTAAAGAGAAGAGAGAGTGAAGATAAGGTAAGGTGTGAAAGACACAATGGCAAGGGGTGATGGAAGACAAAAATAGAACAAGGACAAAGTGAGTGGAAGAGTTTAAAACTGAGGAAACAGACAGGAACAAACTCCCAATGAAGAAAAGGCAGAGTGTGAAATCCAGCAGATATGTGGACAGCGGCCTTATTTCAGAGTCTTACCACAGAGATGTGGGAGGGCAAAGAGAAGGTCCTTTATGCAAGAGGGGTGTAAAATTTCAGTAATGATTTTGCAAGCCCTGATCATCATGGAGGATTTTAACCACCCTGATATCTCCTAGAAGGGCAACACAGTAGGGCACAGACAATCCAAAAGATTTCTGGATTG